CTTTAAAGTTGTCCAAATTAAGTTCTTAGCAATGCATATTACTAATCATAAATTAAGTTTTGATATATTTACGGTAGGAAATTTATAAAATATCTTCATGGAACATGATCTTTACTTAATATCCTAATGATTTTTGGCATAAAAGAAAAATGGATAATTTTGATCCATACAATGTATTGTTGGCTATTGCTACAAATATACCCCAGCGACTTAACACTGCTTTTGTGCTGCAGGGACACATGTTATAATAATAGACATAATGAGTGCTGTTGTTGTTTTCACTGATGTGCAACCTGTACATATATGTTAACATCTCAAAAAATGTGTTTTAGGGTTGCATGAGCCTTTAAATGCATGCATTGAAATGTGCATTTAGATCTTGAATCGGATGTTACCTCTCTCGGGACAGAGGCTTGGGCTCGGGCCGAACAGCGAGTGGCGAGGAGGAGCAGGGCTGTCGCGCCGGCGGAGACACGGAGAAGTTGAGTTCCAGAGATCCGGTCTTTCTGTGCAGCGGCTCCATTCCCATCGCACCCTGCATCTCGCTCTCGATGGGGCAGGATCCGGCTCGGCCGTGAGCGGACGGCTCGTGGGTCGGAGACACGGACGGAGGAGAGCGAGACTTCTTTTTGGCTGCGGCTCCGGAGAGAAGCTTGAGGAGACCGCTGCTCCTCTTCTCTTTCTGTGAGAAAACACACAGGAAGAGAGCCCTAAGACTTCAGCACAACACAGAATCCAGTCAGAAAAACACTGTTGGAGGAATAAATCAAACCCGCCAAAATAAAAGTTCAGTTTAACTTGAACAAATTATGACAGAAATATATTCCTATTGGACAGTAGAATGTACTTCTAATAATAATAATAATTAAATTAAAATCTCCCATGTTTTAATTTTATCAGCACTCTGTTTGGCAACTCTGGTTAAATTAAGTTTTAGTAATCAAAAGGCATGTCTAAATAACTGAAATCACAAGAATTACACAATTTATCAACAATTTATTAGGTTGAACAAAAATTACAATTTTAGGGCCCCATGAAATTTGTTTTATTTTTCCCCAAATTCTGTTTCTGTTCTGTTTTAATGTTACTATTTAGGTCTCATTATTTAATTCAATTTATTCCCAGTTATTGCTTCAATTGCTTCAACTTGCCATAGTTAAAATTTTACATTTTTAATTTTGTAGTTTTTCATCTTTCTTATTTGATTTATTTGATTTCACCGTTATTTCCATGAACAGTCATTATGAGTTTGCATTTGACTGTTTTTCTACAGTAAGATCATGTTCACACACAACGCTCTGCACTTACTCGTGATTTCTGTCACCATGGCAACACCAGAGCTGTCACTCAATACATGGAAACAAAGTAACTGGAGCTACTTATTTGAAAAAGTAACTCAGATATTTACTTCTAAATTAAAAAGTAATGAGTTACTTTACTAGTTACTTAAAGTAATCTGATTACATAACTCACGTTACTTGTAATGCGTTACCCCCAACACTGAATAACAGTATTAATATTTTCGTTTAAGTTACAAACATGTATTTATTTCAGTTTTTCATCTAATATACCCGCGCTACCAGTCTTAAGTCGCTGGGGTATATTTGTAGCAATAGCCAACAATACATTGTATGGGTCAAAATTATACAGTTTTCTTTTATTATAATAAGTAAGTAAAGGTTTTAAGTAAAGTAAAGATCATGTAAAGATCATGCAAGCCAGGATATTAAGTAAAGATCATGTTCCATGAAGATATTTTGTAAATTTCCTACCATAAATATATCAAAACTTAATTTTTGATTAGTAATATGCATTGCTAAGAACTTCATTTGAACAACTTTAAAGATGATTTTCTCAATATTTAGATTTTTTTGCACCCTCAGATTCCAGATTTTCAAATAGTTGTATCTCAGCCAAATATTGCCCTATCCTAACAAACCATACATCAATGGAAAGCTTATTTATTCAGCTTTCAGATGATGCATACATCTAAATTTCAGAAAAATTGACCCTTATGACTGATTTTGTGCTCCAGTGTCACATTAGTATTTTATTTGATTTCACTGTTATTTCCATGAACAGTCATGTTTGTACTAGTCTCAGTTGGATTGGTGAGCAGCACTGACCTTCTCCAGCTTCTTGTCCTCGAGTTTGTTCAGACCTGCGTCTGCGTGTGTGTGTGCAGTTGAGGACAGCTGCGGCTCCGCTCCGTTCAGATGTGCCGCGCTGGTGTTGGGAGGCGTGATGGTGGCGGAGGTCAGGGGCCTCAGGGGCCGAGTGGAGGCGGCATGAGACAGGGGCCGCGCCGGGGAACGAGACGGACTGCTGCTGCTCGCCGGAGGACTGTGGACTGACAACAGTAATACAGCATTCACACACAAACACAAACACATTAACTTTTCATAGTCGTTCCAAACTAGGGCTGCATGATTAATCAGAATAACATCAATGGCTTATTGCAATTATCAAATTTAATGTATATGTGACCCATGGACCACAAAACCAGTCATAAGGGTCAATTTTTTAAAATTGAGATTCATGCATTATCTGAAAGCTGAATAATTAAGCTCTCCATTGGTGTATGGTTTGTTAGGATGTTGCGAGGGCGACACGCGAAATTTCTATTTTTGAAATGGTTTCTATTTCCACGACGTTGCGGCTGGAACAACAACATACAAACTATATGACAGTGATAGTCTCAGGTACTGATTATGTGCTTTATTCAAAGTTAAATGTGAGTTTTAATGTCATATTGCGTGGCTTTTATAGCCGTACTGAAAACAACAACAGATAGTTTACCTCAGATCTTGAAAATAAATTAAAACAAAGATATACGTTAAAAGTGCAAAGACAATGCGAACCAACAAGCGTATTCCACGACAAAGATGGTATCAGTCACTCAGTATGTACATTTAATTATGTTAAAAAGATTTAATATTTATGAATTAGATTATAAACGTATCCATTTCGTTATGAGTGCAGTGCGCTTCAAGAGAGACTCCGCCCCCCCCCCCACATGCTTCTGATTGGCTGTGATATTTGAGTGATTATATCGCATCGCTGGGATCTTGTCGCGTCGCGTGTAGTTAGGACACAGTGTTAGAGTTTTCCCTCTTTCCCTCACGTCGCTTTTAAATAGCTTGTAAATGCCTCTGCGCATTTTACTTTCACTTTCAAATTAGCGGCAATTCGGCGTAGATTGATTGAATGGCCAACAACAAAACAGTACAATGACAAACTCACTTATAATAAACATAGAATGTTTAATTTATTTAACAAAACGAATAATAATACACCATGCTATAGGCCTGATATGAAATAACAATTATAAATCGGCTAGTTCCGGTCCTTGATTCTGATTGGCTGAGCCGTGTTCGAAGCTGTTGTAAATTACTCTACAAAGTAACATACACCTTTGTTTACGTTTGTGTGTTGCTCGGCAACCACTTTGTTGCAACCACAACTGTTTCTGAGGAGCTACATTGTTTGGCGGAAGAATACTGTTTTTATTAATATCATTACACTTTATTTGCTGTTTTATTTTGTGAAACCTTACTACGTATATGGAATAACCGTTTTATAAAAGCAATAAGCCCCGTGAAGCCGTGGTTTACAGTGAATTTATAACAGCTTCGCGTCGTACCTAACAACGGCCCTTAGCTGTTATAAATTCACTGTAAACCACGGCTTCACGGGGCTTATTGCTTTTATAACCTACACAAAGTTTAAATATGAAAAAAAGAGAAAATCAGCAAACGAATGTTTTAAAAAACTTCCAAAATCACATAAATGGCAAAAGTCAACAGGTTTTACTAAATCCAAAATATTATTAAAACAGGTGCTTTTGCGTTTCATTTCGTAACTAAATTTTCCACCATCGTCTTGTCTTTCGTGGTTCGTGATAAATCAAAAAATCTGATCTGTGATGCGACTGTCGTTCGGCACGCTGCATTGAGCAGTCGCGTTCAGTTTTTAATTGTAGTGTCTGTTCTCTAACTGAACCAAATGATTTTTAATTTTTTATTATTCCTATTTATTTATTAATTCCTTATTATAAAAAATTAAAATGACGGTGGGGGTGGTGGGCAAGTGACGTACTATCGCAGCAAGCCTAAAATGTATGTGCCGTCATTGATGAATAAACTGATGAATTCCTGTCAAAAACATTAACTTTTGATAGTCATTCCAAACTAGGGCTGCATGATTAAATCAGAATAACATCAAAACTGCGCAATGGCTTATTGCAATTATCAAATTTAATGAATTAATATATGCACTTGTGTTTCAGAGTGAAGCGTGTCACTGTGTTCATTTAAAGGTGCCATAGAATGCATTGATACAATATTTTAAATTGTTTTCTTATATCTACATAGACGGTATGTGGCTTAGGTAAGGGCAAAAAATCTCCAGAAGTGGTTTTACATGTCCATTTACAACCCTAGGATTTGTCCCTAGAATGAAATGGTCTGTTTTTACCTTATTTGGAAGGGTCATGAATAATAATGTTGAGCTCTGCTCTGATTGGCTGTTTCACAGTGCGGCTCAATGTTGAGCTCTGCTCTGATTGGCTGTTTCAC